CTGGTATCCCTGGTATCCCTGGTATCCCTGGTATCCCTGGTATCCCTGGTATCCCAGGTATCCCTGGTATCCCTGGTATCTCTAGTATCCCTGGTATCCCTTGTATCCCCAGTATCCCTGGTATCCCTGTTTGAATTACCTTGTTTAAACCTTCAACTTCCTTTCTGGATTTTCCGCGAAGATCAGCTGATAAATTCTTGGGAGTATGTCTAAAACGTATCATTATCATTCTTCTTTTATTTTATTATTTCGAAGATTGTTATAATCAAAATAAAAGTTTATTATTTTTACCGCCTCTTGACCAACATTAAAAAGCTATGATTCCTCCAACAGAGGGAAGTTAAGTTACTGAACGTCCCTTGGGACAGTTATGTAAAATAACCACCCGCTCTGCGATTTCTTTGCGAAAAAATTCGCGCATTTTCTTCTCGAAAGTCGATAAACTTGTGTACAACTACTTTTTCGGCAAATTAAAAATTGTATTTAACCACGGGTAAAGTAGGTGTAATTAATTATAATTTCAATTATTTAAAAAAAAAATTTGTATAAAATGTTTTTTTTTCTCTGATGTTTATAATTGAATGAACAAACCTGTTCGCGAGATGTCCTTCGAAACCTTTCTTACTTTTAAAGAATACTTCGCACTTATCACATCGATACAGGCACTGTACATTATGCACCTAAACATGAATATTATCTATACAGGCACTGTACATTATGCACCTAAACATGAATTCCCTGGTATCCCTGGTATTCCTGGTATCCCTGGTATCCCTGGTATCCTTGGTATCCTTGGTATCCCTGGTGTCCCTGGTATCCCTGGTATNAATGATCATTGGTCAATTATGAAACCAGCCTATTTCATAATTTGGTTTTCTTTTAACAATAATTTTAGATTTTCTATGAAATGATATTCCAGGGCCCAAAAGGTTATATAGCATAAATATGTGAAGTACACCTGCAGTATGGAAACAGTACAACAAAATGGCTGTTTTACACTTTTTTCTAGTAAATTCCTCTCTAAAATATATTATATTCTCTATGGTTTCATCTGTTTTATAAATATTTCAAGTGGCTATTAAGTGTCAAAAATTTTTTTTATCATTTTATTACAGGACAAATACATAAGGTAAAGAGTATAAAACCGTGGATTATAATTCTATATTTTTCCCCAAGTATCATTGCATTCTTTTTTCTTCTGATCCGTCCAGCCATCGCCGCCATTATTCTTTCTCTCGTCCTTCTTCTGATTATCCTGGTTCAAGTTACCCCAGATGCTGTTTGCTTTCTCCTCCAGGTACTTACTACAACCTGATCCTGATCCCTGGTTTCCGGACATCCTGGAGTCAAGCTCGTTGTGTTTGATAGGATGAGTTGAGGTTGTGGTTAGATTCAGGTTCTTGTCGCTTCTTTGGAATGGTTTCACCCAGTTCTAGATTATACTATCTTGATGCCGATGAGATATTTAAAACGATTTGATGGTTACAATTCTCTTTGTAGCTGGGTCTTCTATTTGAAGGTTGAACTGCTAATGACAATTTCTAGTATAATGTTTCTTATATACGGTTTAGCATGTCGACTGATCAACATGTCGATTTTTTCAACATGTCGACTCTGTGTCATGTCAACTATGAATATCAAATGTTGCAATACAGATCGCGACATGATCAAAATTGAATTGATTTAATGTTAAAAGAAAAAATGAAGACCTTATCGTGTCCGAAGAAAAAAAATACAAACATTTGCTTGTTGATTTTTATTTGTTTATTTAGAAAACTGCAAGAATATATTTGGAATGAATAAGTAATCGTTATCTTAGCCTGGCAGTTATGGAAACTATAATTATATAGTTAGATAAAAAATTATTATATGGGTGGGGGGAAGAGGGAGGGGGAGGAATCACAAAATGTCATGTTTCATGGCCATGAGTTATGGTAAGGTTCGTAAATCAATTAAAAATAGTTTTTCTAAGCTTTTTTAATTATTAATTCTTTTTCTTCTTGGAAACTATCTTAAAATGATATTTATAACCTTACAGAATCAACACCCGAAAAAATCAGTATGTGAACTAAAAATAATAAACCAAACCTCCCTTCTTTCTCAAAGTACGAAAAATGTGCGTATTATAAAATTTTTATCCCCCCCCCCCCTC